TCCATCCATCCATCCATCCATCCACTCATCCATCCATCCATCCATTCATCCATCCACTCATCCATCCACTCATCCATCCATCCATCCATCTATCCATCCATCCATCCACTCATCCATCCATCCATCCATCCATCCATCCACTCATCCATCCATCCATCCATCCATCCATCCANTCCACTCATCCATCCATCCACTCATCCATCCATCCATCCATCCATCCATCCACTCATGCATCCATCCATGTACTAGCATATAAGTAATTGTTAAAAGTTATCTTATTATTTTACATGTACATGTAAAACAAAATATGTAAATAGTTTGAAAATATCTTATATCATGTGAACATGTTTTTAATTTATTCATGAAACTATGGACAGCTGGTGTCATCAGACCATCGCAGGTGATTGACTACGAGGAGTTGCTGGCTAAAGGAACTACATCATTTAATGTCGCCGTGACAGCGAACGATGGGCGAGAAGATTCGGTCACCAAATACTTCACTTTAGCTGTCACAGACGTTAACGAACCACAGACGGGATTTTCACAGACTACATATCAAATTACAGGAGTAGAGGTAAACAATAGTTCCGTAAGCGTTAAAAGTTTTGTTGCTGTCAGTCAATCAATTCTCACTCAACCAGGCCCCGTACTTAAATTCAAGCTTATGTCCAATTTTTTGCTTCGGTAAAAATTAATGACAACTCACATTTGGTCAGTGACTAGCAAAAATATATGGAGATATTTAAAGCCGAGTACCTTCTTAAATCTCTAAAACTGATTTTTGGACAGTGTCACATGGTTTATGCGAGTTTCTAATGGTTGGAGAACAGAATCCGTGCTTGACCACGAGTACGGTTTTATCAATACGGGCCCATAGTACTGATAGTATACGGGAATCAGTCACATAATGAATCATATTGATAAAATGTCGTTGAAGACTACCACGACTTTCCCGGACCTCAATCACACTTTGGCCAATTCTGTGATAGACGTTGACGACACACGTGACACACAGACGCTTACCATGGACTGTGGGACCACAACGGTGTTGTTTGCTATGGACCCCACCACGGGCCGCGTCACCAAGACCGATGAATACGATCTCGACGCTACACAACAGACGACAGACACCGTGGCGTGCGTTGGTGAGTACTGTTGCAGTGGTTTTAATCATCTTCTTGCATGAATGCATTAAATTCTGAGAAAGATATAGTCTTTCTTACGAATATCCATCACAAAACTCTATGCTGCAGATCTATTCATTTTTGGCATATTTTAACTATAACCAAACTTTATAGGTGCAATTACCTGTGTGAATTCTTACGGTCATTCCGTAGGGGTGTTATTCAAAAATCCAAATAAATAATTATCGTGTCGGACTATATTTTGACAGTTTTTTCCATTCTGCGCTGGGGAGATGTAAGTTAACATAACGAAAATAAATCCACATGTAAATGCATAAGAGAATATATACTAACGGTAGGTATCATAAACTGATGCGGTTGGCCCTCTTCAAGGGGCGAACCCTTGGCCGGAAAAAAGAACCTTTGAACGCGGACTGTGAGAAAGGGGGTGGGGGGG